GACCGGTCTGGATCTGGTACTGACAGCGCCCGCCGCCAGAGCTACCACTCGACACACCACCACGCGCCCGGCCACCGCCAGCGCCGGGCCACCCGGGCGGGAGGATACTCGTCTGCCGCGTCTGCGACGGCTGCGGCGGCTGCTGCGATGGCTGCGACTGCGGCGACTGCTGCGGCTGCTGCAACTGCAGGGGCGGTGGCTCAGCTGGACTGGGCAGGGTCCCCTCGTCCGTTCCAGCACTAGACGACCCGACCCCACCACTACCCCCTCCCGCATCCCCGCCGCCGCCTCCGCCGCGCCCAACCTTGGGGCGGCGGTCCTTCCCCGAACGAAACTGCGCGGCAGCAGCAGTCTCAGCCACTGCGACAGAGCCGTCGGAGAAGGTACACTGGGCGGGGGCACAACCCTGAAAGATAGGGACAGGCACGACACCGCTCGCCTGGGCGATGGAGCGGTGACGGGTCTCTATCACAGTCAGGGTGTCTACAAAGTCAGTGAGGGTGAGGTCGGCAGGGTGAACGCTAAGGAAGCGGTCGCGGGCGACAGCAAGGCGGTCAGGGAGGCGGGTGGCAAGCAGGTAGAGGGTAGAGGTAATGGGCGGCTGGTGGGCTCTAAGCTGTGCGTCAGTGCAGGCGGCGCGCCAGGTCTCCTCTATCGAGCGCAGATGGGCAGCGAGGTCAGAGACAGTGGGGAAAGATGCAAGGTCAGGAAAGAGCATCGGGAGGATCAGGCGACCCACCGAGGTAGCCGGAGGGGTGGAATAGCGCTTGATGACAGCATCTAAGTATGCCTGAGCAGTAGTGAGGGACCTAAAGCGAGGACGCTCGGACGGGGGGAGGGTGTTGCTAATGGCAAGCTGGGCGACAGCATCACGAGAAAGCCAGACAGAGCGCGCACGGGCAGTGGCAGCAGTAGACTCACGCTCAGTGGGTGTGGGGTCAGCGGGCAGAATAGCAGGGGGGTCTGGGCAGGGGAGCGTACCGTCAAGGTGTGCGGAAAGCGGTTCACCATCCTGCCGCTGGCCAGTGAGTTGGCGGCGGAGGTCGGCAAGCCACGCCTCGAACTCTAGGGGCTGACCTTCAGCGTCGAAGCGAAGCTCCGCCGCCATCAGGAACAGTCCAGTGCGGTGCAGGGCAGTGCAGTGCAGTGCGGTACAGTGCGGTGCAGTGCGGTGCAGTGCGGTACAGTGCGGTGCAGTGTGGTGCACCGCGGTGCAGTGCGATGCAGTGCGGTGCAGTGCGGTGTAATGCAGTACAGTGTGGTGCGTGGCGGTACGGTGCAGGGCAGTGCAAGGCGGGGTAGGGGGGAACCGTACCAGTGAGGAGGACGGGGCCGGGGCAGCGGGGCCGGACAGGTGCGACCTGGCCGGGCGAGGACGACGGGGCCGGGCGGGCGCGACGGGGCCGGGCGGGCGCGACGGGGCCGGGCTGGTGCGACGGGGCCGGGCGAGCGCGACGGGGCCGGGCAGGGGCGACGAGGCCGGGCGGGGGCGACAGGGCCGGGCCGGTGCGACGGGGCCGGGCGGGCGCGACGGGGCCGGGCTGGTGCGACGGGGCCGGGCGGCTGCAACGGGGCCGGGCAGGGTGCGACGGGGCCGGGCGAGTGCGACGGGGCCGGGCGAGCAGGACGGGGCCGGGCTGATGCGACGGGGCCGGGCTGGTGCGACGGGGCCGGGCGAGCGCGACGGGGGGCCCAGGAGGGGCGCTGCAGGGGCCCAGGAGGGGCGCGACGGGGCCCAGGAGGGGCGCTACGGGGCCTGGGAGGGGCGCGACGGGACCCAGGAGGGACGCTACGGGGCCTGGGAGGGGCGCGACGGGGCCGAGGAGGGGCGCTACAGGACCCAGAAAGGGCGCGACGGGGCCCAGGAGGGGCGCTACGGAGCCCAGGAGGGGCGTTACGGGGCCTGGGAGGGGCGCGACGGGGCCCAGGAGGGGCGCTACGGGGCCCAGGAGGGGCGCGACGGGGCCCAGGAGGGGCGCTACGGGGCCCAGGAGGGGCGCGACGGTCCCCAGGAGGGGCGCTACGGGGCCTGGGAGGGGCGCGACGTGGCCCAGGAGGGGCGCTACGGGGCCCAGGAGGGGCGCGACGGGGCCCAGGAGGGGCGCTACGGGGCCCAGGAGGGGCGCGACGGGACCCAAGAGGGGCGCTACGGGGCCTGGGAGGGGCGCGACGGGGCCCAGGAGGGGCGCTACGGAGCCCAGGAGGGGCGCGACGAGGCCCAGGAGGGGCGTTACGGGGCCTAGGAGGAGCGCGACGGGGCCCAGGAGGGGCGCTACGGGGCCCGGGAAGGGGCGCGACGGGGCCCAGGGAGGGGCGCGACGGGTCCCAGGAAGGGGCGCGACGGGGCTAGGGGGGGTCGCGACGGGGCTAGGGGGGGGCGAGCGGAAGCGGTAGGTGGGGGGGATCCTACCTACGCGTGATACCATGTCAGAAATTGAAGAAGTGAGTGATGTTAGAGAGAGGCTACACACAGATATACCTAAGTGTTGTACCCTCTAAGAGGCTACCCTATACAGTCTATACAAACATGACAAATACACATGTTTGACACATAGGCTTTCCGCTCCTGTTCCTGAGGTTACTCGACGGTTTTAAAATAGGCAAGATAGATGCATGCTCTTAGAGGGTACCAACATTTGAACAAAACCAACCTGTATGCCTCATTCTAGTTCACTTTTCTATTTTGAGACACGCCCCGCAGGGCCCGACTCTGGGCGGGGTTTTGCTCTCTGAAAGTCCCAAATTGTATGCACGCGCTTTCAAGTTTCATTCTACTCAATTGCCAGGTGTGTCGGGGGTTCGTGCGAAATATGTTGAGGGTGGCACGCGCGCTTTTTCTGAACCCCGTGGTTTTGGGATGCAAATTCAATTGCAATTCTCGCTTTGGGGTACCCGGTTACCGCCCGGAGTTGTTCAATGTTAATAATATTGAAACACGATTTCTGCAATTTGGGTCGACGGCTTTAAAGCCCGCGGCCCAAATTGTGAGGCGTGACCTTCAAATGCAGTGCGTTTGAAAGTTGCGTTTTCGTTGGTGTATTGGGGGGTAACGAGACTCTCGTTACTCAGGGGTGCATTTCAAATTTAGTGCGGAAGGTAATTTGGAACACCTGGTGCCGAGCGTTTCTCAACCGTCCAGTTTTTCTAGATTTTCATCTGGCGGCGCGTAAGCCAAGCACTTCCCCCAGTCAGTCGAAAGGTAATCTCATCCGTCAAACTGCATGTTAGTAAATCTGACGATTCACGACAAGCATTGAATTTGCGAGTGTAAACGCCATCGCGATTTTCCAGCGTATTTCGTACAGCCTGAGGGTCAAACTTCATACGCACTGCGTTTGAACAATTTTCCGTGGGTTTTAAGCCATTTGTTATGAATGGAACTGCCGAGTAGCGCAGATGGCAGTGGCGAAAGTGTGAACGAGTGAACGACAATAAAATGAAAGACAAAATAATACATAGGAAACTTAGGGTGATCCTGGACATAGGATCAGAAGGTTAGGGAAAAGTGTCGAAGGGCTTCGATGTGTCGAAGCGAGGTCCGGAAAGGCTCCGGCGGCTTGAACTGAAAGGTCTGGAACCCTATCGCTTGTTCGGGATTGTTCAAGTCGTACGCCCTGTAGTAATTCATGTTTCTTCATGTATTGTTGTAAATTAGCAATTAGTTCCATTCGAGGCTAAAATTGTTTCCTGATAGTTCCATCCGCCGTATTTATTGACGACAGGAAACGTTTTAGGCTATTACAATAGTTTTAGCACCTGTGATTTGAAAGGTGCACTAGATTTTTACTTTTAGAACTAGTGCCCCGAAATGGGAAACCAAATGTATAGTGCTGCTACGCAACCCAAAAATTGGACATTCCCAGTTCCAGCTGGGGCTGTTTGTCCACCCTGTCAGTGCCTTGCGTTGTTGTGAGGTCGCGGCGGCCGGTGTGCTGTCCACGTGACGTAACGACAGCGAATGTGACTGCAACTACAGTTGACCCTTTGTTTCGCACGTGTCCAGCCCGATTGAACCAATTGAACCCGTTTGTGGAACCCGATCACGTGAAGGGTTTGGTGCATGCGCCAGCTCCGTTATTTATTGGCGTGTTTCGTGCTTTCCCGTAACCCTGTGGAGCTTGTCCGGCACCGAATTTCCCATTGCTAACTTCAGGCGCATTTGCATACGAATGATGGCTGCAATACATGTACAAACGATTGCTAGAAGATCGCAATACGTGTACATATGTTGGCCTAGGCTGGCTAAATTATATCATTTGGGAAATCGAGTGTAGAGATGTCAGGTGAAGGACACCATGCAAACAGTCTTGAATAGTTTTTGTTTTCCGGGAAACCGCTCGTCGTGTACAGCCCAGGCGTCAGTAGAAAACTGAAGCTGGGCAACTTCCTATGAACGTTCATTCCATCATTGTCATGAGGACCTTTGTGTGGAACTGTTTTGTCCAAGGTCAGCACGGTTTCGGGCATGAAAGATGTGATGTTGGCGCTGCAGCGCCACACCACCACCCCACACCTCCGCTGCTGCTGTGCTGGCCGCGGGCGTCCCAATTCTTTTTGTTCCCTAAAATGGAGGCCGCTTCTCTGACTGGGAGTTGAGCTTGAGAACTCAAGGGCGCGGGGCGAGAATTCTGCCAGGCGGCGGGCAGCATCACCGTTGAACCTATTCCCCTGAGTTGCATTCTGTTAGGATGCAAAACACTTGCGACCGCATTTCTCAGCTTGAGGGCTTGCGGGGAAAACGAGGCAGTCTGTTCTCCTTTCCCCGCCTCAGTTTTTGTCCAGCGTCCCCCATTTACCTTCCCCTTGGCCCCCCAACCTTTCTGCTTCCCGTTCCGCTTCCGCTTCCGCTTCCGCCTCCGCTTCAATTTCCGCTTATGCTTCCCTTTCCTCTTCTTGCTTGCACTCCGCGCCACCCCCTGAATGTTCCTCCCTTGCTGGTGGTTTGGGAGGGATGGGAGAGTTCCCCCTGCCTACAAAACCTCATCCAGCTTCATAACCCGCGGCTGCCTAGTGTTTGTTGTTGGAACCCCACTATCCTCTCCGCCATCAGCGAAGCTCTCCTTGTGCCGCTCTTCTCCCTGGTGTAGTTCGACGAACTGGCGTTCTCGTGCTGACCACGACCTAAGAATCTAGCCTCTTTTTTTCGCTGTCACTGACAGCGTTACAGAGGTTTCCTTAGCGAACCTCTGTCGGAATTTCCACCGTCTCTTTTGAGGGTTTCTACCCTTTTTTGGAAGTGCAACGTTCGTCCATTTTTGCTGAGGAGCCTTTAGCTTCTAGCAACAGCAACAGCAGAAACGAGACCTGCTAACAGCGGTTGTGAATCTTCATTTTTTTCCTACCGTGTAAACCACGTGGAAAAGGGCGGCATGGAGAGCTTGATGGGTACTCATCTTATTTTTGGTCAGCAGAACTTGCTGCAGCTTAAGCAGCTTCAGGCTGCTGCTACGGCACTATCTGCCAGCCAGTATCTTCCCGTTGACATGAACCTGCTTCTGCAGCTTCATAATCTTTCCGGTATCCAGAACGATGTTCCTCTTCCGTCACTCGCTTCGGACGCGCGTCCTCGCCTTACGTGGACCGATAAGGTAAATTAGGACCACCTTTGTTCTGTATCAAATGCTTAATCCCTGGCACGGTGCGGTTTCTAACATCTCCGGTGTGCTGACTCGTGCAGGAGGATTGCATGCTGAAGGAGCTGATTCGCCAGCACGGAACGAACAAGTGGGCTCTCGTTGCTTCTAAAATCCGCACCAAGACGAACAAGCAGTGCCGTCGCAGGTGGCAGGCGTTTCTGAACGCCATGGGAAACAAGGGCGTCTGGACTCCCGAGGAAGATCAGAAGCTTCTCGAAGGTCACCGCCTGTACGGCAACCGCTGGACGGAGATCGCTCGTATGGTGCCTGGAAGGTAATTAATGTCCCGCAACCCCTCTTTCCGCTTTCCTCTTCCAATCCCCGCTTTTCCTTAGTTTTTGTTTTGTTTTTTGTCCCTGATATTTAATATTGTGGAATGTACCGTGCGTCTTTTGTTTTTTTCAGGACCGACAACGCTGCGAAGAACCGGTTCGCGGCGTTGACGGCGAAGCGTGGTGGTGCCCTTCCTCCGGCTCAGGCCAAGTCGCATTCCGATTCGGACGTTTCCGAGAACGGCAGCGCGAGTCAGGTCGGCGATTCGTCTTCCATGTTGAGCGACAGACCAGCGATGAAGAGGAGCCGATCATCCGAGTTTCAGTTGATGGATCGCGCGGTGAAACCCAAGGTGGAGCTCGATCTAAACTCCGTCCCCATGGCTGCTGCAGCAGTCGGCTCCCAGACCAGCAGCGCGTGCTCTGAGGTGGAGCAGTGCCTGGAAGGTTCCTTTCTTCCAGACCTCAACTCCCCTGTTCCTGAGCTGACGCTTTCGCTATAGGTCAGGCGAGTGCGGTCGCTGACGAGTGAGCTTTCTGATTAGTCTAGAGGTTTCTCTCGTGCAGGCTCATGGCTCTATTTGCCATTTTTTTCCTGCCCGAAGAGGGTCTCTAGGCAGCTTCAGCATCTCTAGTACATGAATCTGGTAGTCTCTGGGACGGCGGTTGTGTGCATAGCTAGTTCCACCTTTGGCTTTTTCTTGTCTTCGTGCAAGTTCATCCCTTTTGGGAAATGCCAATGGTCCTCTTTTCTCTTGCTGTGATACATTGGTTCTTAGGTTGTATTTTTGTTTCACCTTCTGTTGTGGAACTTCCAGAACTGCAACCTGTTCCATAGAAGGGTTAGATGGTGCACATTCTATCACCTCGTACATGTCGCCTCAACAAGCTAGCCTCGCGATCGTAGCAACCATAAATTCCCTCGCACGCAGACCGGGTTCTGTCAGCCACTCTGGTTAGGGAATAAATCATGGATTCGTAAGCTGCAATGAGTCCCATCATGGGCAAGGCTTGCTCCCTTACGATGGCCATTGGCACATGGCGAAATAGTACATCTGATTGCAGTGCAGTAGCTTGCTTTGCGTTTCAAAGCGTTTAATGCCAAACTAGAATGGTTGGGTAGGGTATTCAGCGTAAACGAACTATTTGGACCTGCCCTAACGACACTGCAGTATTCTCGGCGCACCCTCTACACCAGCGTGTGTACAGCGTGGCACCCTACGTGCGCGTCGGAAGTGGAAGAAGCGGCCACGATCACCGCAACTCCAGTCGCTTAGTCCGATCCGCATGGAGCATGCGCACGAGCCGGCTGTCCCAAACAGCAACGCCAAGGAAATGGGAGCAGGGAAACGGCCATGCGAATCATCTGCTACCGCCCCTCCTCCCCCTCCCATGTGCGCGAAAGGCGTCGTCGCGTCGCTCGTGCAGACATTCGAGGTCCAAAACCATCCGCTAATGAGTCAATCAGGCGCTCGTCGGTTCGGAAGTGGCGCCGAGGCCTCTCAAGAGCGACATTGCCGGCGAGAATCCGACCGTCAAGAATTCGAGGATCAGCCTCTTCCCAAGCGCGCCAAGCTAGTTGACGTGGACGCAGTTTGTGCCGAGGGCGCTGCTGCGATCGATAAGCCTCCACCGCCGGATGCTGCTGACGGACACCCGCCACGCGTCCTCGTCGATGACCGTTGCCTTGCTGCGGATGCAGCAGCTGTACGCATTTTATCGGTTCCTGCCGCCGATAATAGCGCAGCGGTTGACCTCCCCGTGATCGACGAGCCAGCAGCGATTGGACCACCTGTTGCGGGTAGCGGACCTCGCAGTAACGCGAGTAGTGCACCTCGTGATGCTACTGATGCTCCCCTGGACGAGCTATGGCGGAAGGCTGAGATGCGGGCTGTGACCGCGGAGGTGGCGGACGGTGAGAAGCGGTTGAAAGCGCTGGAGGCGGAGAGGGATGCACGGGAAGCGCGGGTCGCGCGTGCCAGCGAGAGATGCAGTCAGGTAAGGCGATTCTTCGCTATTATCACACTCAATTTACCTGTAGCAGATGGTGTGAAGCGGCTGAAAGCACAGGAGGCGGAGAGGGATGCAGACCAGGGGAAGCACGGTTGGTTGACACGTGCCCTCCTAGAGATGCAGTCAGGCGAGGAGATCCTTTCGTTATTGTCACACACGATATAAACTGTACCCTGTGTGCCATGTATGGTTTACACACCCAGATACACACCCTCATTCTTTCCTTTCTCCTTTCCCTCTCAAACCACTCCCTCCATTCCCTGCACTCACCCACCCAATCCATGAAATCCCACCCTCCATTCACATCCTGCCACGTGTCAGGCGGAGGCGTCAGTCCAGCAAGCCACGTCAGCAGTGCAGTTGGCCCAGCATGCGCAGTGCTCCCTGCGGGCGGCAGAGTGGGCGGCGGCAGTGCGAGTGAGGGAGGGAGTGGTGGCAGCAGATGAAGGTAGAAGGAGGCTGAATCAGCTGCTGATGCTGACAAGATTGGACACATCAGGGGATGGGGTTGAAATCAAAAGTACCCCACATAGTGACGTGCTGATGCTGACAGGATCGGAATTACCTGGGGAGAGAGATGAGAAGGAGAGCTCTGCGCATAGCTTGCTTCAACGGAGGGAGCAGCAGGAGGCGACTTGTGGGGCGCAGGGAAGTGAGGAGGGAAGAGAAGAGGGAAGAGGGGAGGGAAGAGGGGAGCACGCAGTTAAGGAGGGTGGGGAGCTGAAGGGACTGCCATTGGATGCATGGAAAAGCCTGCAGGTATGCTGTCAGGGCTTTGTTGTGTGGCTGGTTTCAGCAGAGACATTTGGCATGACTCACTGCAAATATTGAATTCCGTGTCAGCCTCTGTAAGGGTCTGGCCTGGTGTGGCCTGGTGTGGCCTAGTGTGGCCTGGTGTGGCCTGGTGTGGCCTGGTGTGGTCTGGTGTGGTCTGGTGTGGTCTGGTGTGATCTGGTGAGGTCTGGTGTTGTCTGGTGAGGTCCGGCGTGGTCTGGTGAGGTCTGGTGTGGTCTGGTGAGGTCTGGTCTTGAATTCCGTGTCAGCCTCTGTGAGGGTCTGATCTGGTGTGGTCTGGTCTGTGTCCGTGTGTTACTGTTGTTGCATTTCCATTATCCACTCCTGAATCCTGATCCGTGAATTGAAGATTTTCTCCCAGCTTCCATTCTTCCCCCCTCCTCCGTGGTTCCCTTCCCATTCCTCTCCTCCTCCCTCACTCACCCCATCATGTGCAGATGGGGGGGGAGCCAAACGCCTCTCCTTCCCATTCCCCTCTCCCCCCCCCCATGCACACCACCACGTGCAGATGGCAGCCGAACGCCTCTCTGCTGCATCTTTTGCCGCAACGGACCATGGAGTTGACTTGGCAGGTGTGGAGGAGCATGTGCTGGTTGTGAATAGACACTGGGTAAACTACATAAAACTGCAGCATGCTCTGTCAAAGTGGGAAGATACAGGCCAGTTTTGAGTCGACTCAATAGTGGAGGAGGATGTACTGGGTGTGATGAATAGGAGATGGATTAATAATGTGAAACAGCAGCCCGCTCTGTCAAAGCTGGAAGATACAGGCCAGAAACAATTGGTGGTGCATGGGTTAGATCTGGGACTCTTTATGTCAGAACAGAAACCGTACCATATGTTGTAAAAGCATACACTATTTGTGCAGAAGGAACAGCCAGTACAACACATTGCTTGCTTGGTCAACAATGAGTCATGTGGTACTTAGAAGCAGCCATCTCTGCCCATGTCGGGTGGTCAACCACCAGCACCCCATGGGTGCAGAGCCATAGTGGCTGGCACATGGTGGTAGCCGTATGAATGTGGCAAAGCACCTGCCTATGTCGGGTGGTCATTGGTCAACCACCGGAACTCCATGGGCGCGGAGCCACAGTGGCATGCGGTACTGCGCATTGAGGAAGGGGCGCACGTCTGGTTGCAGGGCGAGGGTCTCTACAAGGGGCAGCAGCACTTGCAGCAACTGAAAGGGGGACGGGGCGGGGGGGGGGGTGGGGGAGTGTGTGTGGCGGGGAAATGGGAAGGAGATGGAGACATAGCAGTGAGTTGGAGCGTGGAGATGGGAGGTAAACAGGAAGGAGACGGGGCGCACAGCCACAGCAGCATGCGGTAAGTGCACACTGAGGAAGGGGCGACACACGTCTGGTTGCAATGAGCGGGTCTCGAGCAGAAGCAGCAGCACTTGTAGAGGCTGGTGAGCCAGGGAAGCGGATGGCGGCACAAAGCAGGGGAGGGGGAGCTTTTGAGTCGACTCAAAATGAGGCTGGTGAGGCAGGGAAGCGGATGGCGGCACAAAGCAGGGGAGGGGGAGGGGGAGGGGGAGAGGGGGGGGAGAGGAAAGAGGCGGTAGTGGGCGCTGAGGAAAGGACTGCCTGTTGGGGAAAAGGAGCCTAATTACTAACCTGTCTGTCGGAGCCCTCGCCACCGAAAAACGGAATGCAGGGAGGGCCGATGAGCGGCTGCAGCAGGAAGGCGAAGGGGTTGCTGTCGATGATGCCTGGTACAAGCCTCTCAGCCCCGCCACATCTCCTCACTCCATCTGGTACCCCAGTTACTCACCAGTCTCTCCAGTTACTAACCTGTCTGTCGGAGCCCTCGCCACCGAAAAACGGGACGCAGGGAATGCCGTTGACTGGCTGCAGCAGGAATGCGAAGGGGTTGTTGTCGATGATGACTGTGCGGCGCAGGTCGCGCCCCAACACACTCAAGTCCTTCACGTGCTGCCTCATGTGCCTGGGTGGGGGTTTGACGAGCGATAGTGCGTGCACACAGAAAGAGAGACGGAGGGAGAGAAGCGAGACGTCGGAGGCGATGGGTTTGGACTAGAAGGGAGGCACCGGGGAAAGAGGGGGGGGGGAGGGAGAATGGGAAGAGGGCGAGAAGGCCAAGGGGTTGTTGTCTTGTCGATGATGACTGTGCTGCGGTGCCGGTCACGCCCCAACACAACCAGGTCGTTCACATGCCGCCTCATGTGACGGGTTTGACGAGCGATAGTGCGCTCACAAATAAAGAGTGATGGAGGGAGAGAAGCGCGGCGTCGGATGCGATGGGGATGCCAAGTGCGGCATCAAAACAACAACTAGGCGGACACAAGGGACGAGCGCGCCGCAGACGAAGCACACTTATTACCAGACAGGCAAGAACGACTGAGAAAGAGGGCACGGGCAAAGGCCGTAAACCCGAAAGCCTACGGGCAGAAGCTAAGGCCCAAGGGCTGATGAAGAGCATACGTGGTGACGGTGGCAGGTCGGTAGAGGCGAGCTGAGATGAGCCCATCGGGGTCTATTCTGTCCACTAGAGGACAAGCATAGCCTGCAATGTGCACGTGCGGAGCAGGAAAAGACACGGGACACAGCGAGAAGGAACAGATGCGGTCGGGTTTTGATAGTTCGCAAAAACCGAACTTGGGGTTTAAACAGTCCACTGAACGACAAGCATAGCCTGTAACGTGCGTGTGCAGGGCAGGCAAAGGAACAGGACGCAGGGAGGGGGAATATATGAGCCGGTAGAGGTCTGATTTGCCCACTAAAGGAGAAGAATGCCCTATTCTGCCACACGCGTGCAGCGCAGACAATGGGACAGGCCGCAGAAATTCCATCTGCCCCGCAAGCAGACAAGCGTAGCCTCCACGCACGCATTACGACATACCCATGGGCCATGGCATGTCAATGATGCTTGGCAGCATCAGTAACGCTATGTCCTGCAACAATCAGCTCTGCCGCTCTGCAGCTCAGCGGCTCTGCACCAGTCTCATCCCCTCCTCCCGCCACACACACCCTTCCAGCCCAGCAGTGAAAACAACCACCTCCCCTATCTGGCTGGCTTGAACTCCCATAGTATCAATTGCTCGACCAACCCATAAGCCCCGCCACGTGCGCTTTCTCTGACACACCAAACGCACCTTCCAGCCCGGCAGTGAAGAGCACGAGCTCCCCTATCTCACTGGCTCGTCTCAGGAACTCCCGCAAACCTGGCCGCTCGAACACCGTCACGAGCGCCTTCTCTGGCCGACCGCTCTCGTCCTGCAGAGTGGGTGCGTGGAGAGCGGAGGAGGGGGAGGAGATGTGCGCACATGTCTCATGCACGGCGCTCGTTACAATCTCGTCCACTCGTAAGCCCTTCTCCATGCGCCATCCACGGCACAACGCTACTAGCGGCACCAGTGGGCCATGGCGGATGATGATGAGGACCATGAGGATATCTAAGCGGGGCTCACTATAAGGGGAGCTTACTGTAAGGGAGCTTACTGTAAGGGAGCCTACTATAGGGGAGCTGACTATAAGTAGGGCTTACTATGAAGGGAGCTTACAATAAGAGAGCTTACTATGAGACGTCAATGAAACAGCGCTTACGAGGTCCGACGAGAAGCTGGTGACGCCGCTGGCGATGATTGAGACGAGCGCAGCGCCATCATGCACAGCGCTATTAAAGAGCTATGGAGGGACTACGAGGAGGGGTGTGTGTGCCGAGCGCTTACCAGGTCCGCGGAGGAGCATTGGAGCTCGAAGCTGGTGACGCCGCTGGCGACGGCTGCCTGCTGGACGGACTCCAGCACTAGCAGTGGGCCATGGAGGGTCACGAGGAGGACTACGAGGACTAGAAGGATGTCTAAGCGAGGCTTGCTGTAAGGAGTATAAGGAGGCCAACAAAGAAGGGCTTACGAGGTCAGTGGAGGAGCATTCGAGGTCGAAACTGGTGACGCCGCTGGCGACGGCGGCCTGGTGGACAGTCTCTGGTAGGCCCGCCGTGTTGTACGCGCAGACCAGGGTTTCGTCCAGGTCCAGCACGATCTGACGGTGACGGAGTGAGACGGAAAAATAACGGACGGGCGAACAGAATCGTGTGGGATGGGACAACCGAACGAACAAGTCGGGCTTGGGAAGGTGAGAAGAATTTGGAAGCCACAGTCCAATCAGAGCACCAGGATACAACTGCTCAAAACATAGAATTCTCGACGAGAAATAGGGCAAATCCGAAGGCCAACGCAAGAAGCTTACGGTCAGTCTGGTGTCACCCTCGCCGCGAGGCGCCAGGAGAGGCGGCTTGGCGCGAGAGGCATCAACGGAGCTACTACTAGTACTTGTTAGTCGTAGATATGGCGATTCGAGAGCGAGTCTGTCAGCCTGTTCCACCACGGCATCTAAGCCGGCGGACAATAAGAAAGTCCTTAATTGCGTTCGTTTCCCGAATTGGAGGAGGACTCGCAGCAAAAGAATGAAGAATATGTGCATCGACTGCACGACGAATGACTGTACAGTGACCCAGTACGATAAACTGGGAACCATCATGCTCGCTGGTACAGTTTGAAGTCGCAATGACGCCATTAGACCAGGCATCAATGACTTCTTAGTCTCTTTCAGCATGGTGAGCATTTCGGGTGTGCTGTTGCGCGAGCTAAGAGCCGACCCGAAGAAAAAGGTGCGCCAGAATCCACGCCTAGCGGAAGAGAATTACGAGCTGACGCTTATCTCGACGAATTGGGAACTAATATCGGCAGCAGTCACGGATGTCCGTGCGTTTTTGTGTTGCACTTGCACCACACGCAACAACACCAGCCCCCATGGCTTAACGCACAAACAGAGCACGGCCTGCTCTGATGGCCAATTAGTTATAATTGGCAACTGATTCAGGAAAAGCGTGAGTCAGGGGGTCTATGCAGGAACCGTGGAGGCATGGTGCATCATCAGCAGTGCGTCAGCTGAGGTGGTTACTGACAGCGAACGGCGCTGGCTGCTGAAAAGGGGAACAACAGTGGCGCTGGGATTGCTGAGGGAAAGGCTTAGGGATTGTTTCTAGTAGGTGTCATCCGGAAAAAGTGTCATCCGAGAATATTGGAAACCCATCGCAACCGTTGAAGTTTTGAAATAACGGTTGCGATGGGTTTCCAGTATTCTCAGATGACACTTTTTCGGATGACACCTACTAGAAACAACCCTTCGGGTTTCCATCAGGTGGACGTGGTAGGAACCCTGGTTTCAGGGCCATAACTGGGCAAACCGTCATCGAAACACTCTGAAGTTGATTCTTTATTGTATGGTAGTGGAGTAAAGCAGCAATTGTTTTGAGGAGAAACAAAGTTCAAGATTTTTACCGAATAAAGGGTCATCCAGAAATATTTTATGGATGTGAAGGAATTTTTCGGTTCCCTCGGCGCGCGTGCGTTGCGAACTTCCGAGCGACTTGGGGGTGCGGGCCTGGGAGTGTCTGCTCTGCCCTGAATGGAACCGCACCGCACAGCCGTGACCCCCACCAGTCACAAGGAAGGAATCCGACGGCCAGATGTCCCCCCCATTCCCGATGAAGGTTGTTCAGTTAGCGTGCGACAGATCCGACGACAGATCCCTGGATTACGACGTCCACAGTCACTTTTTGGGCGATCCAGCCTTGGGAATGTCAGCTTTTTGGAGAGGCCGACGAGGTTTTCCACTAACGAAGGGTACACGCCTCCTCCACATTCTTGGCACAGCAAAGTTGCTTGTGCTGCAGGGGCACCATTACGCCACCACCCTAAGTCCATAGCAGCGCGAACCAAGGGGAGAGTGTTTGGGTGGATGGATGGGGGTCATGAAAGCCGACAATCGAGCTCGCTATACGAACGCGACTGCAACGAGGTTAGGGGTTCCCCAAAAGCAGGATCTTCGAGTCCGCCAAATATCTGGGATGGGACTGTATATGTATCGTAACATATGTTGTTTGGAAAGAACTGTAATGTGTACCAGGTTCAGTTGGGTTCACACTGCTAACAGTCGGTTTGATTCGGTTTTCTGGACATCCTAATAGCCAGTTTATCTCATCATGGGTGACCATAAGACAGCTCCCTTCCCTTGGCTTCCTTCCTCCCATCCTATTCTCTTCGTCACCCGCACTTGCTGAATGACAGCTCCGCCAAGCACAGTTGGTCTATCTGAATTCTCTGCTCCTTGCTGCTCGTTGCTTGTGACTGTTACTCCTAGTCACGTATGCTACATTGCACTCCCGTGCTCGCATCAGAGGCGATGGAGAGCATATCAGCCGTGGAATTTATGGCGTGATGGAATGGCATATAGCTTTTCCCCGCTTTTTCCTGTTCCCTCTACTTTGAATTTTACCCCCTAAGTTTTGCCGAGCCAGTAGCCTTTTTATTATTATTAAATTTCGGCTTAGGGGCCTACAGCGCTTATCCTGCTATCCACTGCGGAGACCCTTTTTTTTTTTCCTGCAGGACGTAAATCTGGACGCGTGTTACAACGGCCTTGAAACTTGCAGGCAGTGACGCAGTTTCCGAAATCTGTCCCATGGAGCTATTAGACGATTTTTTAGACCCGTACTCCACTGGCTGCTCGGATCCTGGGAGTTGTTAGAGATTCTGTATATTCAGTAGTTGAGTGCTAGTTCTTCTACTTTGGCCAACTCTACGGTTAGCCCTTTCGGATAGGTGCGCTGGTTGTTGCATTTAGTTCACGGGCCGTCCACATCGCACCGTTGATTCTTATCGTCCATTGCATTCAACGGTCATGATGATGGACCCGGTGTTAGTCCTCATCATCGCGAGCTGTATGACACTTACGCAGTTCGCGCTGCAGCTCAAGGAGAATATCACCACCAGCGCTTACTTAAAAAACTTCAATCTCATGTTGGAGTCGACAGCGTCCCTGCACGCATTGCTGACGGAGTTTAAGAGCTTCAAAGGCTGGGGCGTGGCCACCGACGGCGCGAAGAAGTCGTTTCAGAGGCTCGAAGATCTGTTACGGAAAGCCACGGCGCTGCTGCAGCGATGCATCAGCGCGCGGAGTAAACTGCTGCAGGTGAGACTTGAACGCTGATGAAGAGACTCAACGGGAGGTTATCTGGTGTTGTTTTTCCTTCTTTTTTCCACATGTCAGATGCGTTGTGACGGCAATGTTGCGGCGTCGTTTGATTCGTTGTGTTTAGGGTTCGACACTGCGAAGCTGTTGCCATTGCATTGGGACTTGATTTCAGGCTGCATTTTTCCCCAGAGATTGAAGACGTGATTTACTTATTATGTTCATTTGTTAATTTTGCGTATTTTGCGGAATGCAGCTTGTATCGGAGCACGCGTTACAGGCGCAGGACTTCATCAAGATGCACGCGGAGCTGGAGCAGTGCCTCTCCACCGTCCCCATCCAAACCCTCCCTGAACCCCTCACCTCCAAGGTCAGTCGCCGGCGCCTCAATCGCTCGCGTCTTAAGGTAAGTCGTTCTGGGATAAGGCATCAGGCGACGATACGTGGCAGTGTTGGCTAGATGTCAATGACTTTCACCTTTGCGCCCTGGAAAGCTGTCAGGTTCGAGCAATACGTCGTAAATTAGAGATCAGAGGTGAAACGTTTGATTCCACCGTAAGGCCTTACGGCTTTATCCGAACGGCGATCCCCATTTCGCGGTTCTCACTTCGTAATTCAATTTAGAATACGCCCCCCACCCCCCCCCCCCCCCCTCCCCTTTTTTTTAGAATGATTGCGCTTCCATTTGTCCGCTTTCAATGAAGAGGCAGATTAAAGGATTGCCTTTTCTTTCCATTTCCCTCCAAGGGTGCAGAGACCGTCTTTTAGTACTCCCACAGCAAGCTTTTAAGATTCGATCATTCCACGAGCGCTCCAGTCCTCTCGCCACTCTCCTCCCCCCCCCCCCCCCCCCCCCCCCCCCCCCCCCCCCCCCCCCCCCCCCCCCCCCCTCCCCCCCTCCTCTCACCTCTGCTCCCCTCTTCCCTCTCGCCACTCTCCTCCCCCTTCTGCTCCCTCTCCTCCCCCTCTTTTCCCTCTCGCCACCTCTCCTCCCCCCCCCCCCCCTCCCTCTCTCGCTTTCAATGTTCTTCTCACATTGCCAATCCGCTCCTCTCCCCGTCCCCCTCCGCCTCCCTCTACCTGTGCCTGCAAACCCCACTCCCCACCCCTTCTAAATCAGCTCACGGCTATGCGCCAGCGGCTCGTCAGAACGCCCTTCTCCGAGGCAGTCAACCCCGCCATGCGTGCGGAGCTGCACTCTCTCATATCCCTCCCCCCCTCCCCCCCTCCCCCCTCCCCCCTACCCCGTTCCACACCCCCCCCCCCCCCCCCCATCCCCACCCCCACCCCCACCAGCTCACGGCTATGCGCCAGCAGCTCCTCAATACGCCCTTCTCCGAGTCAGTCACGCCCGCCATGCGCGCGCAGCTGCAGCTGCTGCTGTCCTCCGCCGCCTCCCCCTCCCCCGCGCTCAAGGAAGCGCCCGGGTCTGACGTGCTGGCTTTTCAGCTGGCGGAAGCGCTGGGGCTGGGGCTCTCCGCGGAGGCCGCCAACCCGGGCGCGCTGCGCCGCGAGCAGGAGGCGCTCGCGCTGGAGAAGCGCAAGGCGCAGGAGGGGCGGGACCTGGCGCAGGCGAAGGTGGTGGAGCAGGTGAGACTGGCGGAGGGGGGGGGGGAAGGGGGAGAGGGGGGGAGATCGGGGGCATAGGGCGCACTGGCATGGGGTAGAGCAGGCGCGTAGAACCACACAAGGCGCAGGAGGGGCGGGACCTGGCGCAGGCTAAGGAGGTGGACACGTGAGACTGGGAACGGAGGGGGGGGGGACGGGGACAAGGTATGGGTTAGGATAGGCGCGGAGTAACACGAGGGGCGCAGGAGGGACGGGTCCAGGCGCAGGCGAAAGTGGTGGAGCAGGCGAGCCTGGGGGGAAATGGGGGGGTGCGGGGGGAACAAGGAGCACTGGCATGCAGTACACGCGTTGAGCCACGGCGCATTAGGGGCGGGACCTGGCGCAGGCTAAGGTGGTGGAGCAGGTGGTACTGGGGGAGGGGGGAAAGGGGACAAGGTATGGGATAGGGTAGGCGCCTGATGACACTAGGGGCGCAGGAGGGGGCGGGACCTCGCCGAGTTCAACATCGCGGGCGAGCGAGGACTCGGAGGATGGGGAATCTGTTGGGTAGGGGCGAGGCTGAGGGAACTCGGGCGAGGAATCTGTGGCAAGTGGGAATGGGAAAGTACAAAAAAGAAGACTGGAAGTAAGTGGGGGCATGAAAGGGGAGGGGAGAGCAGAGTTTTTTGGGAGGGAAGGGGAAGGATGGGGTGGAAAAAATGCACGAATTTGGAGGTGGGGCTCCTTGAAGCGCGTTTGGCGGCAGCGAGGTGGGGGTTTCTGCGCAGGTCCTCGATAGGTGGGGAGGATTGGCGAGGACTCGTCGGCGGGGCGGAGGGGGGGCCTGGCGCACGGGGGCGGAGGGGAGGGGAAAGGGAAGTGGGGGGGGGGGGGGGGGGGGGGGGGGGGGGGGGGGGGGGGGGGGGGGGGGGGGGGGGGGGGGGGGGGGGGGGGGGGGGGAGGGGGGGGGGGGAGGTGGGGAGAGGCACTGGCTTGGATAGGGTAGGCGCTTTAACGCTCGCAAGGCGCAGGATGAAGGGACGTGGGGCAGGATGCCACGGTGGATGGCAGGATGGCTGGGGGAAAGGGGCGAATGATGGGAGGAGTGGGGGGTGGGGAGTGGGGAGTGGGGGGAGAGGGAGATTGCAGGTGCGTGTATCTGGTGTTGACTGCAATCATTCCCTCCCGTCCATCCCTCCCACTTCCCTGTACCCTCCCCTCTTCACCAGATACTGCTGGTGCTCATGTGCATGGATGGGCGGGGACGTGGCAATGCGTGCATGGGCCGTACTTGACACGAATCCCCTCCCTCGCCCTCCTTCCTCTTGCACCGCACCAGATAGTGCTGGTGCTCATGCGCATGGACGGGCAGGGTGGTAGCAGCCGCTCGCACGCACTTCAAATTGACTTGAAATATTTTCTCCCCTCCCTCCCCCCCACAAACCGTACATCACCCGCCAGATAGTGCTGGTGCTCATGTGCATGGACAGGGAGGTGGCAGCCGAGTGTGCCTTAAGGCTTCAAGCATTCCTCCCGATCCCTCCCATTCCCCGCTGCATCACCCGCCAGATAGTGCTGGTGCTCATGCGCATGGACAGGGAGGTGGCAGCCCGCCGGGAGAAGCAGAAACGAGCAGCAGAAGCCGCATCAGGAGCAGCCAGCTCTGCTGGTGCCTCCTCCACTGCAGCAACGTCCTCCTCCATCTTCGCTCCTCAGCCCAACCGTCCCCAGGCAGCAGCCGCAGCTCCAGGAATCAACCTGCTGGCAGATAGCTTGACAGAGCTCAGCGTGGGAGGTAACGATAGACAAGCAGCAGCAGCAGCAGCAGCGAGCTCCCAGCAACAGCAACAGGGGCAGGGCAGGGCCAGGGGCAGACGGTAACAGAGTGAGACATCAAGAGGGGCAGGAGGCAGCAAAGAAGGCGGTTGAGCCTCTCAAGATGGTGCTTCCAGGGGAAAGCGCTGCTGCTGCTGCTGGGTTTGGTGCTGGTACACAACCGGCCAAGAGCCCACAGCCTGCAGCTGAGGCGGCAGGGGGGGGAGCAGCAGCAGTGAACGGGGCTGATGGTGTAGCAGGAGCAGCAGCAGCAGCAGCAGCACGATCACGATCGCCTGCCCCGTCAGCAGTAGCTGGCAGCACGGCCAGCTCAGCAGCAACCAGAGCTACCGCCGCTGCCCCATCCTCATCTTCAGCCACAGCAGCAACAACACCAGCAGCGGCCACAGCACAGCCCAGGCCAGCAGCAGCAGCAGCAGCCGCCCCAGCTCCAGCCCCAGCAGCAGCAGCGAGTGGAGAACAAGGTGTGGCCCAGCAGATCATCCGCACCCTGCGCCTGGGCACAGTGGACGAGAAAGCTCAAGCAGCAGGCCTTGTGGGCTGGCACACGAAATTCTCAGCCACCAACCGCGCCATGTTCCGCTCCGCAGGAGTCATCGACGCCCTTCTCCCCCTCGCTGCTGCGTCTGGTCCCACCGAGGCGAAAGCTGCCGATGCGGCGGTCAGGGCCCTGGGGAATCTCCTGGCGGACGAGGATGTGAAGGTGGAGCTGATCGGCCACCTGCCTCTGCTGGTCCAGGCCCTGAAGCGAGCCGAGCTGCCGGCGTCCCGTGCTGGCATGGCGCGGATTTTCAAGGCGATCGCCACGATCTCGGATGAGGCCTGCAAGGTGGTGGTTGATGCAGGCGCAGTGCCGCACTTAGCTAAGTTTCTGGACCCGAGCGTGGCTGCCGCGCCGGCGAACCCGCCGCCGACGGGCGGCGCTGCAGTGGCTGCGGCAGCCGCAGCGGAGGAAGCGTCCAAGCAATGCTCGGCGGAAACTTTGGCGATTCTGGCGCAGGTGCCGTCGAAACGGAGCCGGATGGTGGCAGACGGGGTCGTGGGCCCGCTCTCTCTCCTCGTCCTCGCGAACCCCCCGACCGAAACCCTAATCGCTGCGGTGACAGCGCTGGCTGGGCTAGCGAGCGTGCATGAGGGGAGGGAGGGCATGGGGCCGGCGCTGCCCACGCTGGTAAATCTGCTGAGGGTGGAGGACGAGGGGGTGATGGCGCCCGCGCTGGATGCGCTGCTGCTGCTGGCGAAGCACAGCGCAGCGTACCGGAGCGGCATCAGGAACAACGGCGGGATGAGACATCTCAGGAACGTGCTGCGAGTCGGGCCCTCGCCTCTCCACAACAAGGTGTGATTGGCTGGTGTAGACCCATGTATCCCCCCCACATCCTCCCCCCCCCCCCCCCCCCCCGTTTTCCTCCCCTGAAGCTCTCACCGTCCTCTCCCCGTTCCCCTGCCCCAGCGCTTTCTCTTGCCTCCTTTCTCCTGCCCCAGTGAAGTCTTCTTTTCCGTCCTAAATTGCTTTGATGCCATAATTTCCGTGGCGTGTTGTTGAGACTGCTCTCGCGTGCTTGCCCACTGGAATGGTGCCTTGGATCATCTACTTGCCAGCCGTCTCCGCGCTTCCACGTTGTACTGAGGATTGCTGAGGCGCCTCAGAAGTCGCCCCCATCATCCAAAAGTTTGCCATCTCCACTTGTTCTAATTACTGCGTACGTCCACGCATGCACATGCACATGCACATGCACTTGCACTTGCACCCACAATCACATGCATCATGGCAGGGAATGGAGCTTCTTGCTGCGCTCTTCTCGTAGCATTCAAGCATGAAGAAAGTGCAGGGGGGTTGCCAGTGCAGGGGGGTTGCCGTGCACACTTGTCTGCACCGCATGTATCGCTTGGCTCATGCGATCACAGCAATGGGGGTGCGTTGCCTTCGATCCGCACCCACACCCGACTAGCAGGAAACGCAGCAGCAACAGCAGTAATGCGGGTGCATCATTGGGAAGGTCTTTCTTGAGTGTACTGCCTGGTCAAGTTACACTCGGAGGATCTGGTGGTCTGGAATAAGGCTACACAATAGGGCTACGCAATAGGGTTGCGCTTCTGTGTGTGCTAGGCACATGTAGTCCAGCAGAATCGAACCTGCTGTCAGTGTGTTAGCTGCTTGTATGGTACACCTTCAGTAGTCTAGTTATGTTGGGGTAGGTGGCTTGGTAGGTGTAGAATTCGAACTGGCTGTTGAGCTGCTAGCTTGATGCTTAGACAAAGTGCCTAAGGTGGATTGTGTACTGTAGATATCATTTAGATGAGAGACATATGATTTTCAGTGCTATCACCTCAGTTGCTTCGGACTAGTTGGGTCGCCCATTTTGAGGCCCAGTAAGTATACATTTACTACTATATAAATACATACCCAGCTGTAGTACTTGCATAATATAGCAGTCGCTACATGGCCCTGCTCAGCCAGAGAAGAGGTGCCTCACTGGAGCTCAGTGCTCCTATCGAGGTCACCAGTAATGAGAACTCATCATCAGCCCCCTTCAGCCCTGATTGCGCGTACTCAACAAATGCCATCAGTTCCTTATCTGACCGGTTGACGGAGACCTCTGTAAACCCCGCGCAACTGTACACAAAAGGCCGGGTTTCAGTCCATATACACGGTAGCGAGGTGCGCTGTATCCGCTTCGTATTGCCTCCGCCACCGCCGCCACCACTGCTCCCACTCCCACTCCCACTCCCACTCCCACTCCCACTCCCACTCCCACTCCCATTCCCACTTCCATTCCCACTCCCATTCCCATTCCCATTCCCATTCCCATTCCCATTCCCACTCCCACTCCCATTCCCATTCCCATTCCCATTCCCATTCCCGTTGCCATTGCCGTTGCCGTTGCCGTTGCCGTTGCCGTTGCCGTTGCCGTTGCCGTTGCCGTTGCTGTTTACACTTGCACTTTTCGCATTCTTGTTTCCTCCCGAGGTGAAAAGCAGCAGTGTAGCTGACTGAGGGCTGTTATCCGGAGCAACGAGGACGACTGTAAAGGAGATGCGGAAGAAGCTAGCCGTGCTGCAATGAGGAGGGGGGGGAGGTAGTAGAGAAACGAGGGGCGAAAAGGGATGGAGTATGGCTTATAAAACAGGCGAGTGCTATTGCAACGACGGGGACAAGTGGAAAAGGAATGCAGATGAAGAAATGCACTCTGTTTTGAGATAAGGAGCTCGGTGACAAGAGCAAAGGAAAGAGGAAGAGAGAGAGGGACAGCCCATGTGCGCACCACCAGGCATGGGATCACTGATTCGATGTACACACAAGGCCGTGCCCCAAAAGGTGGTGCCACACCAGGTGGTGCCACACCACCTGAAGAGACAAGGAGAAAGGGAGGCACTTACAGGGCATCGACACGAATGTGAGCGCCGCCAGGCATGGGGTCAGTGAGGTTGATGGAGAAGTGCGGGCGGGTGACCACTGGCAGAGGGGCCAACGCACGGTCTGCAGTCAAAGGAGTGAAGGCACAGGGGGAGCGAGAGCAAAAGGGCGAGGGAGCAATGGAGCAAGGGAGCAAGGGGAGCATGGGGTCGCTGAGATTGACGGAGAAATGGGGGAGGGTCACTACAGGCAGAGGGGCCAACGCACGGTCTGCAGGAAGAGGAGAAATTGCAAGTGCAACACCAGAAAGGGGAGGGAGGAAGGGACACAGCAGCATGGGGTCAGTGAGGTTGACGCTGCTGTGAGAAGTGTCATGGCCTAACGTGAAGAGTCTATTTTTGAGGCGCCTCAAAAATAGACTGCTGTGAGAAGTGTCATGGCCTAACGTGAACAGACATTGTTGGAAACAGAATTTGAATGAAAGAAACGTGAGCGCAGACGCGTCCAAGAAGCAGAGGTTTTTTACTTATTTTTAATAGGTCAGAGAAAGGTCGGACCTAAAGTCAGACCTGGGCTAGGGTATGGAAACTAGAATGGGAACGAGATTGGGACGAGATTGGGACGAGATTGGGAACGGGGCGTACCAAAACCAGCGATCGTGCTCTCTGCAAACTCCCCAACGGCCAATCCCAGTGCGCCACCTGGACTCCCTGGCATCTCATCGTACTCCATTCCAATCAACGGCCAGGATTGCTCCGCACTCCCCCCTGACCCACTTGCCCCCCCCCCACTCCCTCCCCCGCCCCCACACCCCCCCTCGTCCCCAGTCATGCGTAGCGATGCAAGCGCTGCTGCTATAGCTGAAGGGTTAGGGTCTGGGGGAGGGGAGGAGGGAGGAGGGGAGGAGGGAGGAGGGGAGGTGGGAGGAGGGGAGGAGGGAGGAGGAGGGGAGGGAGGAGGGGGAGGGGAGGATGAGGCGGGGGTGGAGACAGGAGGAGGGGAGGCGGAGGGATTGCCATTGCCACTGCCATTGCCACTACTGCTGCTATTGCCATTGCCATTGCCACTGCTGCTGCCATTCCCATTGCCATTCCCGTTACCATTCACACTACCATTCCCATTGCCATTGCTAGTGCCATTCCCGTTGCCATTACCATTCCCATTCCCATTCCCATTCCCGTTCCCATTCCCATTCCCATTCCCATTCCCGTTCCCATTCCCATTCCCATTCCCATTCCCGGTACTAGGGGGTTCAGGAGGAGGGGCAGCAGGGGGGTCAAGGGGGGGATGGATAGGGGGAGAGAGAGAAGGGAGTGCAGGGAGCTCGGGAGGGGGGGAGGTGACTGGAGAAATGGGCAGAGTAGGGGAAGGAGGAGGAGAGGAGGGAGGAGGGCTTTTGTTCCCATTGCCATTCGCATTCGCATTCCCATTCCCGTTGCCATTGCCATTGCCATTGCCATTGCCATTGCCATTGCTATTCCCATTAACCGGGGCATCAGGAGGAGGGAAAGCAGGGGGGTCAGGGGGAGATTGGATAGGGGGGGAGAGAGAAGGGAGTGCAGGGAGCTCGGGAGGGGGGGAGGTGACTGGAGAACTGGGCTGAGTAGGGGAAGGAGGAGGAGAGGAGGGAGGAGGGCTTTTGTTCCCATTGCCATTCGCATTCGCATTCCCATTCCCGTTCCCGTTGCCATTGCCATTGCCATTGCCATTCCCATTAACCGGGGCATCAGGAGGAGGGAAAGCAGGGGGTTCAGGGGGAGATTGGATAGGGGGGGAGAGAGAAGGGAGTGCAGGGAGCTCGGGAGGGGGGGAGGTGACTGGAGAAATGGGCAGAGTAGGGGAAGGAGGAGGAGAGGAGGGAGGAGGGCTTTTGTTCCCATTGCCATTCGCATTCGCATTCGCATTCCCATTCCCGTTGCCATTGCCATTGCCATTGCCATTGCCATTGCCATTGCCATTGCCATTCCCATTAACCGGGGCATCAGGAGGAGGGAAAGCAGGGGGGTCAGGGGGAGAGGAGAGGGGGGGAGACAGAAGGGGAGGCGATGAGGGTTCAGGGGAGGGCGGATGAGGGGGGACGGGGGTTGAGGGGGAGAGGGAGATGGGGGAGAGGGAGTAGGGGGAGAGGGAGGAGGGGGAGAGGGAGTAGGGGGAGAGGGAGGAGGGGGAGAGGGAGGTGGGGGAGAGGGAGGAGGAGGAGAGGGAGGAGGGGGAGAGGGAGGAGGAGGAGAGGGAGGAGGGGGAGAGGGAGGAGGGGGAGAGGGAGGAGGCGGAGAGGGAGGAGGGAGAGACGGGGGAGGAGAGGGAGGAGAAGGAGAGGGAGGAGGGGGAGGAAGGCTTTTGTTCCCATTCCCATTCCCATTGCCATTGCCATTGCCATTGCCATTGCCATTACCATTGCCATTGCTGTTGCTGCTGCCATTGCCAGTGGTGTTGGTGGGGGAAGGGGGAGGAGAGGAAGGGGGAGCGGAAGGGGGAGGGGAGGAAGGAGGAGGACTGGAGGGCGGAGGACTGGAGGGCGGAGGACTGGAGGGCGGAGGACTGGAGGGCGGAGGGCTCTTGTTACCATTCCCGTTCCCATTCCCATTTCCGTTGCCGTTGCCGTTGCCGTTGCCAGTAGTGGTGATGGTGTCAGTGAGAGGAGGGGGAGGGGAGGGAGTGGTGACCTTCGCAGCAGGGAATACCAGCAACGAGCGCTCAACAGCGCTGGCGGCAGCAGCAGTAGCGGTGGTGGTGGTGGCGGCAGCAGCAGCAGCCGAAACAGCATCCAGAGTAGTGATAGCATCAGCTGCAGTGACAACAGCCGCAGCAGCAGCGGCAGCAGGGGGGGACGGCACTTGAAACAGGCCCACGGCTTCCCACAGAGTGGGGGCGCCAGCAGCTGCAGCACCGGGCTTCCTCCATGTGATCACATCTGGCAGCAGGGGGAAGGGACACGTGGCACTCGTGCAGGGTGGAGCTGTACTGGTGCTGCTGCTGGTGCTGCTGGTATTGGCAGCGGTGGTGGCCGTGGTGGTGTTGGAGGCGGTGGGGGAGAGGAGGGAGAGCAGAGAGGGCGGTGTGTCCTTGGGCGTAGTGACGGTGAGCTTGTACGCCACACATGCTGCCCCGCTGCCACACGTGCTGCACACGGGAGATGGGGGAATCGGGGATGGGGGAATTGGGGAGGGGGGAATTGGGGAGGGGGGAATCGGGGATGGGGGAATTGGGGAGGGGGGAATCGGGGATGGGGGAATTGGGGAGGGGGGAATGGCGGAATGGGGGATGGGGGATGGGGGATGGGGGAAAGGGGTAATGGGAAGAGCACGAGTGTGGTTGTGAGAGGGCGGCATGTCCTTGGGCGTGGTGACGGTGAGCTTGTACGCCACGCATGCTGCCCCGCTGGCGCACGTGCGGCGGTGTGGGGGATGGGGAGAACACGGGACGGGAGCACGCCTTTCAGCTCCGGGAGTCTATTTTTGAGGCGCCTCAAAAATACACGGGACGGGAGCATGCCTTTCAGCTCCGGGGGAAAGGCACGGGCAAGGGGAGGAGCAAGGGGGGGAGCAAAGAACAGGTGCAGGAGCAGAGAGAAGGGTAGGGGCAGGGGGGGCGATAGGGGGTGCTAGCCCGCCCCTAGGTCCGCACGAGGCGAGCCATATACGTTATACTGTGCGGCTAGGATCGCGGTTTTTAAGACGACTCGAGGGCAAGCGACAAAGGCTGCACGCGCCAAGGGCTGCACGCGAGGCGAAAGGAGGCGACGGGAGGGGAGGAGAGGGGAGGGGAGAGGAGGGGAGGGGGGCGAGGGGAGAGGAGGGGAGAGGAGGGGAGGGGAGGGGAGGGGAGGGGAGGGGGGGAGGGGAGGGGAGGGGGAGGCACTGACGTCACACTGCGCGGCTAGAATCGCGACTCACCCGAGCGCTAGGCTGATGCTGCCCCTGCCGTTGCCACCGCACACCAAGGCCGTGCGGAATGCTGCCGGGGGAAGGGCAAGACAAAGGGACGGGGGGTAAGGGGGAAGTAAGGCGGAAGGGGCGAGCGGGGAAGGAAGGAAGGAAGGAAGAGAGCCTATTGGGGAGTAGATAACCAAGAGGAAATTTAGGAGAAAAGCGAAACGTTAAGAAAGGGAGGGGAAAAAACGTCACGCTGAAACAGAAACGCCACGCTGAAAGTTCAGCAGTCTCCGTCCATTCGACTCGGACGACAATTCAAGAGAAGCTTACCGTCGAAGTCGCCTGTCGCGGCCGGCAGGTGCAAGAGAAGAAGCGCCGCTGTTGGAACAGAGGCGGGGGAAGGGGCGGGGGGTAGGGCGAACAGGGGATGGGGCAGGGGGAGCGGGCAAACGGAAAGGGGCATGGCGGAAAGCAATGGGCGGCGTTAGGGTTTGTGATCTTCACGGCCAGTAGATGCGGTTCCGCAAAATTCCGGTCGGCGCGGCAGATGGCGGAAGGAGGGCGCGCGAGACGCGCGCCGCGGAGCGCCAGCCGCGGAAAGCCCTGACGAAATTTCGGAGGAGAGGTGGAAGGGGGGATTGGGATGGAAGAAGGGTCGCGGAAATGACGAGTTATTGTTGGCGATTGCGCGAACAAGTGGGCGAGCGATCCGCGGTTTGAGATTCGGATAAAAGGCGAAGAGTTGCGAAGGGGATGTGAACGAATCAGGCAGGTTACACAAATCGTCGACGCAAATATCCGATCGGAAAAGAGACGAAGCGACAATCTACTGCTGCGACGGAAGGCTAACGAGTGAAGAAACCCGTTGTACTACTAACCCTACTACCACCACTGATGCGACAAGTCACACACAGCTACTAGTAGTGCTAGTAGTACTCAATGCGCCACGACGCACAAGCCCCCGGAAAACCGCACCTATAATGTACCGCCACGCCGTGGCGAATGGCGCAGCGCCATCGTCGGCATGATGACGCCGACGATCGCTCTGCTCGTGCCGCGTTACTACAGCAGCAACGCTGCTGCGATGGGGTCGCCTTCCGCAATCGCCGAGACGCTTCCTCCCGCAAGGCCTCCCATCATCACACTTTCCGCCGCTGCCGCCGCCGCCGCCGCCGCGACGTGTGTCCGCAGTCGCCAACGTAGCTGCGAGCCACCGCATATTGCGACGTAGGAGGAGGAGCTGCGGTTTGCCACGTGGCGTCAGTGGTCGATTGGAAAGACCCGCAGCGCGATCCGAACAGAGTTGCGTCCAATCAGTGCGATCAGAGTGCGTTCCGCGCGAATGATCAGTCAGGGCCTGAATGCCGGGCCTGAATGCCGGGCCTGAATGCCGGGCCTGAATGCCGGGCCTGAATGCCGGGCCTGAATGCGGGCCTGAATGCTGGGCGATGCCTGTGCCCTGAAACTCGAATTCACCCTCGGGCGAGAAGTCGAGTCGACTATGCTTTTTGGGGCGCCTAAAAAAATAACCTGAATTTACGCTCAGAAGCTTCGAATCCCCACTCCGGCAAGCTATCTCGGACAGGCTCGCGCTGAGAGGTCCTAGCGACGACGACCAAAAACGACTCGTTCGGAAAGACCGCGAGGGCGCACGCGGTAACGCGACGAGGAGGCGCGACGAAGGCGAATTTTCTCCTGCTACTTAGGACGGACGGCTCGGGTGACCCCTAATTCCGATGCGAACCCGGGCTCGGCTGGACGACGCCTCCTCGTAAATACTATTTAGGGTAAATAGTAAAACGGTCTGGCTTCAAGCGCAACCAAGGCGCGCAGACGATGGCACAAGACTGGCACAAGACTGCCCGTCAGTGTGTACGCGACTTGGGGAGGACAGCGCTCTGGCTGGATCAGGCGATTAAGTTTTCGGACTAGCGAGCCTCTCTCCTACAGACAGAGGATCAAGAATACAGTATGTACAGTAGCGGAGTGAGACTGCCGCGGCGCGGCAAGGCTAGAGTAGGCAGGCAGTCCGAGTCGGCCTGTAAGACAACGGACTTGGTCTTGGAGCCATTCAAAGAGGCGGCCCGCGTGAGGAGTGCAGCGCGCTGAAGCTAAAGATTAGAATGCAGTGGTACGTGACGGAGGTGTGGTGGAGGTGGTGCCATGAAGTGTGGTGTACGGACGGGTGCATCGGGCATGGAGTGAAGAAGCAGGCAGGTCTATGGTAGGCAGCAGACCCACCCATCAGATCAGCAGAGCTGGGAAGGTGTACAGTACACAAGATGTACAGTACTAGACTAGGTCGTACGGCGGTGAACGGGTAGGCCTTGGGTCCATCACGGGCAAAGATGCGTGGACGGAATGGATGGAATGTTGACGACGGGACGGGGAGGAGGAAAAGGAAGGACATCTCTCGATTCGATGGATGGGATGGGAGACAGTTGGTGGGAAAGGGAAAGGTTTAGGGATGCGTGCGGCTTGGCTTGGAAGTTGGAAGGGATGCGATGGAACAGAAAACCAGATGTTTTTCCCGTTGGTGCGCCAGCCATCCTAAAGCTGCGTTGTGCTCTGCTCTGCTCCGCTCCAGTCTGCTCTGCTGGGGTCGGTGGCGCGATGTGTGGTGGTGGTGCGGTGTGAGAGGGTGACTTACTGGTTCGTCGTGAGCCATTGCGGTCGCATTGCTGGATGGACGTTACTGACGAAACAACAACTTGGCTGGTGTAGCATCAAGTCCTTGCCCCGCGAGGGCTGCCCCCGCCTCAACTGTATCGTCCTACAGTAAGTCCTGGCACCAAGTCTGGCGGTGAAGGTTTGAGGGAACTTGAGGAAACAAGCCCTGAGGATGCAGGAGTGGAAAGATTGAGTTGAGGGTATTTCTGGACCGAGTGTCAGGCCCGAGGGTTTAACGAGACGGCCCAGGATTGCAAAAATGGTGTTGTGTTTATGTGGAAACTGACGGTGTCTGCCAGGTGGCCGACTATTTAAAATTCGCGCGGAAAATCGTCTGCCAATGTGGGACCAGTAAACTCAACTGCAGCAACCCCGTGTGCTTTAAGTTAGTCGCATTTCGCTTTTGCGACACATTGATGCAGTTTCGCTGCTGCGCCGTCAGGTATACTTGGAAACCCGCAGTTAGGTTGTGACAACAAGTGGCTCCTTCGGCCGAGGGTCGACCTCGGGTTTCACACTCGTTCCGGAAAACCCTGAAAGGGAGCAGAAGGGGAGGAGTGTCATCGCCAGACAGGATTAGGGCGAGTGACTCTTTGCAAATTTGTCAAAAGTTCGTACCGTGGTTACAACCATTTGCAACCTACCGAATGCGTCCTTTACCGCTCTAGAAGTTCGTACTGGAGGCTTGTTCGTACCCCTTACCGTGATAATTTTGGGTCAGCAATTTCAGATGTGCATCAAGTTGAAGAGTTCAGACCATAGTCGATCAGCAGCAACCAGCGAAAGCATCCTACCTCTTGAACACTCTCCGCTCCGTGAAATCGGGGGCCAACTTCAATTCCACTCATAACGTACCAGAGCGTTTATTCAATGTGGCTCACTTTTGTACTTTAGCGAGAAGACACGGCACACAACGTTCACTATACATGCCAAAGTTTTAACAGCATATTTCTATGTTGAATCCAAACCCAAACCACGCCTTCGTGACATTTGTCATGCGATTCCCACTGAAAATGGCGAAATTAATTCATGGAATTTGTCCAAGGCGCGCATGCGAACTGCAGTGTAGACGTAAACAAACTGATGCCACTAGCTCGACACCAACTGCCCTGAAATTTGTACTTGTTGCACACGAAATCTGAGGAGAATTTCAGGGTTGTAGGGCATTCCGCTTGAAGTTTTAATTACGCTGACTCCGACAACCACCAACCACCATGGAACGTTTAGTGTTATGAACAAACCACCCCTTCCAACTAGACCCGAGAACTACCGTAGCATGGGTTTTTAAGCAGATCCACTATTCTTCAAGAGCAGATTTGATTTGGAAAACTTACCTTGCTTAAAAATCTTATCCCACTCGCCATTACTGTAGTACGCCCTTCGTTTCATGCACCGAGTCCGAAGATCCCGCTGGTCGGTGGAGTGCAACAAGCGGTCGTTTTACGTGTACCAGAAAAATCGCAGTTCAAGGTAACCTAGCATGTAGAAGAAAAAAGATAGTTCATGCGCACAAAGAAAAACACGCTCATAAGAAACTCGTTCATTTCGACTGCACTCAGGGGAAGTATTCCCCACTGAGGCCGAGCCTTGAGGCGCGACTTCAACGCGAAATTCCATACTGAGTGGATTTGATAAATTTTCATATTCGGCGATCTGGGTCGTAAAATTGATGTCCCGAAATACTGCCTCGCGGCCTGCCTCGAGCGCGGAATGCCCCCTCGCTGATGAAAGGAGAAATGTTTTCGGGTCAGAAACTCGACGAAGGTTTTGTTCACTTTGGATTGTAACGTAAAAATAGACAGAAAAGGCATCGGCATGTAGAGTGGATAGAATGTGCCGTGTCTTGTTGCTAACGTACAAAGGTAAGCCACATTGAATACGCTCTCTGGTACGTTGTGAGTGAAATCGAAGCTGGCCCGTGAAATCGTACAGAACAGTGAAGCCTCGAAAGCGGGCAGCAACAAATCACAATCGGTGCCATACCCACCAGCTGTCTGTCATTTGGCGTGACAAGAGGTTGTCGGGGACGCAATGTTCATGGGCGGAGGCGCTGGCGCGGCGACCAGCTTGACCAATCCTTGGACGACGACGATTCTCGATGGAATCGTCAAGTCTTCCGGCGGCGACGACAACGACGAATGGAAAGATCCAGCGAAGGAAAAAACTGGGACGTCGACCAATCATGGATGTAGATTGCGGTCAATTTCTGTATGGCAGCATACTGAACAGTGTCAAAGCTCCATCTGGTGGAACCCCAGACAAGGCTCTTGCTAAGGCCTGGGGTATTCCGTTAGGTCACGGAATCGGCCCCAAAATTACCCGTTAGCTGACGGAATCGTAAAAACACTACCCGTTCTCATTCGCATTTGTCGAAGAACTACTCTTAGAGCGTGTCCAGAGTGGGACGTCGACATCCGACGCATTCCGTTGTAGAATTTCGAGGTATTTCTACCAGGCCCCTAGATATCAGACTTTTTACACTGATTCAGTATTTCTCCAGGGTTTTGGGATAGGGTAATGCTGATTGGCTGGCCTTTTTTTTGAAGTGGATGCTGATTGAAAAGTTATTTTGAAATGTTGAAGTCTGCTTTTTTCAGAGTTTTGGTAGGACTGTACGCTGTTGCATCAGCGGAACAATAGGTTGGGGCTCTGAAACCGAGCGCAGCGAGAGTCCCCCCCTTCCCCACCCCAATTTACGTTTTCAGTCCTCTGCAATTTTGTCAAAGTCCTCCGCAACCAGTCACATCTCTCATACCCCCGCAATCCCCGTAAATTTGTCCAAGTCTTCCGCAACCATTCACATCCCTCTCACAACTCCCGCAATCCCGATGAATTTGTCCTAGTCTTCCTCAACCAGTCACACCCCTCAAGTACCCCCCCGCAATCCCAATAATTGAAGTCTTCCGAAACCAGTCACGTCCCCAAATACCCCATGGAATCCTCATGTCCTTCACCCCCCAAATCTCGTATACCATGTGAAAACTACCCCTAAACAAACTACGAAACCAACTCATGGAAAAACCAGCATGTTTCCTCCCACACCCCCTCAGAGTAATTCTGAAGCTCATGTCCGACACTAGTGTCATACTAGAACACCCGAGGTGGAAAAAAAAAAGCCTAGGATCTTACGACTCCTAACGGCTGCTCGACTGGAAACACGCGAACGGCTCTGTAGGCACACGACCGTCAAAATCACTAGACCCAAGGTTGAGCCTGTAAATTCCGCTACTCCTTCGACGGCGGGTCAACCTCAGGTCAGACCCAAGGTGCGGAATAAACTCTCACATGCCACAAAATGCGGCATAGACAACTACAGCACGAGTCCCTCCCACCCAAGCTGTGATCAGCCCCCTCCAGTCACGCTAGTATTCCCGTAATCTGGCGCGGGGCGCCTTCAAGCTGACGTGCACACACACTGGGATTGGTGCTTCACAAAAAAGATCTCAGGTTAGCCAATCTGTTAGCCAATTTTTTTAAGCTAAGGCTGTTTGAAAAGCAAAAAAGTATTGAGTAACTCTGTTTTTTCAACACTTTTTTACGGGGGAAGCCTGCGACTTCAGCCAAAAGCACGGGGTCGGGGATGATCGATCAGCGTGCCTCCATATGAATCTAGGGGCCTGATTTCGACCGTCAATCAAGATGCATCTTGATTGCCTGATTTCATCCCCCAACATCCCCTGGCATCCCTCAACATCCCACTCTGGACACACTGTTAGTTTGACACTAACATCCTCACAGACGGATGGCCTTCGGCACGGCTAAAGAAAAGCCGTAGAATCCCAATGACTATTTCTCGCATAGACTATGCCTTTGGCAGCGGGAAGAAATCACATCTTCTCTTGTTTACATGAGGAAGATGGGAGTGGTAGTCGGAAGGGTGATGCACCACAACGAGCAGATATCCTAGTACAAGTGTAACTTGTACGAAATAAACAGCGGCTACTGGTGTTCGATCTCGGCTCGTAGATAAGCAGCGGCCCGTAGGGGGTGATGGAATGAGAATATGGAATGGAATCAGTTGTACGGCTCAATGTCAATGGGCTCGGCATAATGGGAAACAAGAGAAATGTTGGAGATGGATTAGGAAGGTGGCGGATGTGGTAGTGCTAACGGATACCAGGATTCCACAAGACCATAACTTCTGGACGAAAGGCAAGTCGGCTGCTGTTACAGTGATAGGACCTGCCACACGGGATGGGGGTGTTACGATTGTAGGATTCCGGAAGGAGATGCGTTTTACGGACATACTGTAGTGTCGCATGAGTCCGGGCCGCTGTTGCAGGTTAAGATACTGTAGAATGGAAGAGTGAGAAGTTGACCCTGATCGTTGTGTATCTCCCTACGCAAGCATGCAATAGGGTAAGTTTTTACAGGGACACGTTAGGTCATTTTTTGCGAAGGGTGTCACAAGCAGACAAAGTGACCCTGATGGGGGACTTCAATGTAGTAGCTGATCCGGAGCCGAATAGGTCGTCGACGTTGGGATCTGCTGGGGAGAATAATAGGTTGCTGACGCTGTGCGGGGCCTGTGATGTGAGTGACGCCTTCCGAACAATGCACCCTTGCAAGCAGAGGTTCACTTTCTTCTCGCGATTGTCGGCCACAAGCTCACGCATAGATCCTGCTCTGCGTGCCAAGGCCCTGCTGGGCGAGCTGGTTGAGGCGCACCACGTGGCCGTTCCCTTTGGCTTATCGGATCACTGGTTCGCCATCAAGTTGCTGCTTCGGAGTGGTTGTGCGGAGAAGGCGGGACCGGGGCTCTGGAGACTCCTTAGGAACCAAGCCAGAAGATTAGGGGTGCGGGCAATCGTAGAAAGAGTGATACAACAGTGTAAGGTCTCTGGAGCAGTCGACTTCGACACGTTGAAGCTGAAATTGTTGGCGAGTATGAGGGCGTATTCAAAAGAAGAGAAGAAGTAGAGGTTAGTAATGGAGAGACATCTGGAGCAAAAGGTGGCTGTCACAGAATCGAATATCTCGAGGAAAGGCTGCACTATCGATTGATACAAGGTGCTTTTATACTTCCAAAGTACATCAGGTAACTAGGTTTATCCTATCCCAAGGGAATAGACCTTTCTAGAAAATAGAATCACCCTGCGTATAGCCACGCGAGGCTATTGGCTTTAAGGGATTACGGCAGGATTACACTAGATATAGCGCGCCAGTACATCCCGAGCCTGGTCGGGGATATAATGAGAATATCAGGATAACCCAAAGGTTTATGGAAAAGGGGAAATAGGAATCCAAATGGAATGAGATAAAGACCAAATGAATCAGGATAAAAAGAGGAATGAAATGGAAAGGGAAGATGAAAAGGAGAAAGGAATGGAACGGGGTCGTACTCTCACACTTCCCCCCCTCAAAGCTGGGTGGTAGACGTAACACCCTGCTTGACAAGGTAGTCGCGAAGAGGACGACGAGTGTGATCCATCTCGGATTCAGAGACCCAACTATCTTCTGAAGGATCATAACCCTTCCAACGGATGAGAAGCTTCACGTTGCCATTCCGTCGACGGCGGTGAGCAAGCACGAACTCGACCTCGTATTCGGGTTCATCGTGGACGAGGACAGGCGGCGGCGGCGGCGGCGGTTGGCGTCCAGTGAAGACCGTGTTGGGGTCTCGGTAGGTCTTCAAGAGTTGGACATGGAAGGCGTTGTGAATCTTCCAGGTAGCTGGTAGGCGTAAGCGGAAGGTAACAGGAGTAACCTGTGCTTCAACGAGAAAAGGCCCGCAGAAGCGAGGTCGTAGTTTGGATGGGAGATGGCTGATCTCAAGATTGCGCGTGTCGAGTAGTACGCGATCTCCCACAGTGATGGTGTGGTCTGTGCGGTGGCAATCGGCCTGGCGCTTCTGTTGTTGCTGAATGTCGAGAAGGCGCTTGTGGGTCCGATCCCAAAGTTTGTGCATCGTCGTGATGAAATCATGAATGGGTTGGACAGTGGCTGGTATGTTTGGCTATTGAGGTGTGAGTGGGTGGCGTCCGTAACAGAGGAAGAACGGCGTCTGTCCAGTAGCGGCGTGAGTGGCATTGTTGTATGCAAACTCCACGACAGGTAGGTGCAAGTCCCATTTGGAGATGTCGTCCTTGCAGGCTGCGCGGAGGAGTTGCTCCACAATTTGGTTGAGGCGCTCGGTATGTCCATCTGTCTGTGGATGGTAGGCGGATGACATGGCGAGTTTGGTCCCGAGCAGAGACATAAGTTCCTTCCAGAACTTGCTACTGAATTTGGGGTCTCGGTCGGAGATGAGTGTGGTAGGAATGCCATGTTGTGAGATGATGTAGCGTATGAAGAGTTGTGTTGTTTCTTCGGTGCATGCTGTCGTGTGTGTCGGAATAAAGTGTCCCATTTTGGAGAACTTGTCGATGACGACAAGGATTGCGTCATGACTACCGGTGGTAGGTGGTAACCCGGTGATGAAATCCAGGCTAACCACTTGCCATGGTTGTTCTGGGACAGGAAGAGTTTGTAGCAGTCCTTCCTTCTTCTGCTTGCTGCTCTTCATCCGCTGACATGTATCACACGAGGTGACGAATTTCTGAACATACTCCCGCCAAGTAGGGCCAGTAGTAGTCCTTGGCGATACCGATGAGCGTCTTGTTGCTACCGAAGTGTCCTGCGTATAGGACGTCGTGGTATTCTTCGAGTAGTAACTGGCGCAATGGAGGGTAAGTAGGTACCCAGGTTTTCGTTGATCCTTTCCGGTACGCGATGTTGTTGTCCCACTGTAGCAGATGTTGCTTTTCTGCCAAATGGATTTCGGGGTCGATGGTGTACCTGTGTGTGAAGAGTCCCTTGAGGAGTGGATTCATCGCTTCAACGTGGATCGCAGCAACGTGTGCAGGCTGGCTAAGTGCAACTGCTTTGTTTTTGTGGCAAGGCTTGTACAAGATGTTGTAGTGGAAGTGCGTCTCGAGGAAGTCGATCCACCGAACTTGTCGCCTGGAGGGGCTTGGTTGCGTCTTCAAATATTTTAGGCTGCAATGGTCGGTGTAGACTGCCGTTTTGCGTTCTTTGAGGTAGCATCTCCATGTTTTGAAGACGATGATGATAGCCACGGCCTCCTTGTCGTGTATCGGGTAGTTGAGTTCTGCCCCGTGTAATTTCTTGCTGAGGTAGGCGATTGGTTCCAGTCCATTCCCCTGGTCTTGCATCAAGACTGCTCCCACTGCCTGATCGCTAGCGTCAGCTTCGATGATGTAGTCGCATTCGGGGTTTGTCAAGATGAGTACGGGTGCGGACGTGAGTGCTTGTTTCAGCAGCTCTACGACTTCCTGATGCTTCGGCTCCCATTCATCGGGCGTGTTCTTTTTTAGCAGATTCGTGAGTGGCGTGACGATTTTCGCGTATTGTGGCACAAACCTGTTGCAGTAGTTAGCAAAGCCAAGGAACTGCTGTAACTCCTTCACATTCTCAGGTGTTTTCTACGTACGCACGGCTTCGATTCTCTTGGGGTCAACGTGAACTCCTTGAGCGCTTACGATATGTCCGAGAAATTGGACTTTCTCGAGGGCGAAATTGCTCTTGGATAGTTTGACGTAGAAGCGTTCTCGTCGAAGAATCTCGAAGACGCGTCGTAAGTGTTCGACGTATTGTTGCATGTCGCGAGAGTAGATGAGGATGTCGTCCAGGTACACCACCACACATTCGTCCAAGAGAGGGCGTAGGATATGATTCATCTTTGCTTGGAATGTTGCAGGTGCGTTGGTGAGTCCGAACGGTATCACCAGATACTCGTACGATCCGTACCGAGTTCGGAAGGTAGTTTTGTGAACGATATCGTCCGCCATTTGTATCTGCCAGTATCCGGACCGCAGATCTAGTTTTGAAAATACCGTGGCTCCCTGAAGCTGGTCAAGCAGATCATCGATTCGTAGAATCGGGTACTTATTCTTGATAGTCTGCTTGTTGAGAGCCCGGTAGTCAATGCACATGCGCAGGCTTCCGTCCGGTTTCGGTGTGAAGAGTACTGGGGCACCGTATGGCGAAGTGGATGGTCGGATGAGTCCTTTGGCGAGGAGATACTCGATCTGTTTCTTCATGTCGGCTAGTTCTGTGGGGCTTGGCCGATATGGTGCTCGGAAGGTCGGCTTCAAACCTGGTTCCTCCACGATCTCGTGTTGGTGCGTTCGGTATGGCGGTAGCTCGTCCGGGAGGTCGTCGGGAAGAATGTCTTGGAACTCCTTAAGTAAGTCCTTGATTTTTTCTGGAGGTTCCGAGGCTTTTTCTCCATCATTCTCCACCTCTGTTGCTATCGCCAGGAACCCGGTGTTGGTTCGTTTCACGTCCTTCTCAAATCTGGCGAGTGTCTCCACTTGGATATCTCCTGTATCGTCCCAGTTGGGTAGCTGGACTCTCCTTCCTTGGTTGTAGATGCTTGCGGTGCGGTTTACCCAGTTGATCTCGGGGTTGAATTGCTTGAGGGAGTCCCGCCCGAAGATCAGGTCAAGACCTTTTATGTTGGTTATGGGGAGAGCAGGTTTCCAGCATAGTGGACCCATTTGTAGGTGTAGCACTGCTTCGCCGTACACTGGTAACTTGCTGCTGTCCACCATTCTTGCAAAAAACACTGATGGCTTGTACTCTTCTCGAAGTCGGTTGATGGTTGCCTTGTCGCATATGCTGTGCGATGCTTCGCTGTCCACGAGTGCTTGGAGGCATCGTCCTTTGCAGATGACCTCGAGCACGAGGGGCAGGCGTTGCTCAGAGTACCCAAAGATAGTTTCATTGATTGGGCCATAGGGTACATCCCAATATTCGTTGCTTCCTATTCCTGAGTTGGCAGCTGGCCAAGGCTGCTTGGAGAAAGGCTCTTCTCCAGGGCCCAGAGTTTCTTTGACGACTGTGCGCGTCGTTGATGCCGAAGTTGCTGAACTGGATGCATACGGAGGATGAGTTCGGGGTTTTTGCAGCTTCTTGTTGACCCCCAGCTTCCTCTTGAGGTGCTTCATCTCCACGGACGTCTTCCCTGGGGAACGGGTAGTCGCTGTTGGCTGGTGTCGGGAGAGGACATTGACTCAGTGGAAAGGTCGGCTTCTTTCCACACTCCTTAACTTGGTCTCCAAGTTCTCCGGTACCGGTATAATCTCCACAACTTTTTGCTTCTTTTGGAGTCCTTCCCGAATTTTCTCCAAGGCTCTAGCCCCTTGAGAATTATAAGTTTTCATTAAAGCATCTTTATATGATAGCTTTAACGAATTCTTATAATTTCTTGGGTCTTGAAGGTGTTTCCCCGTCTAAGCAGAGTCCTTTTTCGCGGAGTTAGGATTTTCCTCGGCGACTTCCTCTGGCGAAGATAGGTCGTGGGGTGGAGATTTTTCCCCATCATTTTCTCCTGTTCGCGTCGAATCAGCTGCGTCGAAGTTGATTTTTATGGAAGTCCGCAGCCGCTTTCAGATCTTTCCTTTTTCGCCAGCTAGATCCGCAATCACTAGCGAGTCCCATTTTTTGGCGATTGATTGGCCGAAGGATTTCCGCCACTGTTGCGTGCCCGATACTCAGCGCGCGCGGTTTTCTTTTTGTTACAGTCGAAGATTTGATGACCCGGCACCCCGCAAAAATCACACGTATAGTTGGTGTTTTTCGGACGTGGCCGCCCTTCTAACCTGTTGACTTCCATCGGGTCGGCGAACGTGGTGTGAGCCGAGCGGTCGCCCTGTCGTGTACTGCCGACGTGCGCCCGTCGTGTCCCGGGGTTCACCATGTCGAAGCGTTCCGCGACCGATACGACATCACTGTAGCACGCATAGTTTGTCGCTGCCATTTGTCATTTGACTTCGGTTTTCCGCCCGACGAGGTACGACTGTACTTTTTCCCCTTCGGTCAGATTGGGAATGTGGTTATAAAATTCCTCCATCTGCTGCGTGTACTGCGCTACACTCTCGAAGTGTCGATGTCGATGATTTTTTTCCCGAGCAAGGAAACCCGAATTTATCGGCTCAAAGCGTTTCAGCGGGTCGGTGCGGAACTGCTGCCACATGGCTTCGCTGTGGATGAAGGTGCTGTTACCGCCGATCCACTCGCGTGCCGGTCCTCGCATCAGTGTCGCCGCGAGTCATACGCGTTGCACATCCCAGACTGGCGAGCTCCATCCGACGGCTTCGAAGTAGATCGCCATGCCGGCGATCCATCTGCGGATGTTGGAATTTCGATCGCTCGGATGGAACGGCTCAGGTGGGCGTGGCTTCGGAGCCTCAAGAAACTGTTGCGACTGCTGCGTTGTCGTCGTTGTCATTTCGTGTTGCGCGCCAGCGAGTCGAGTTACTCGCTCGAACTCTTGTCGCCAAGCTTCGCGGTCGGCTCGCATCTCCTCCTGTAGGGCGGCGATGCGTGCGAAGAGCTGCTGGGTAACTTCGGCGTTGTCGAAGTTTGCCATCCTGTTCAAAACACGCGCGGAGGGGGTAATTCGAAAAAACGCGGAGCTGGTGCTTACCAAAATCGGCTTCGAATTGGTCGCCCCCGGCGGTTTTTCGAGGTTGGAGGCCTGCTGCTGCTGCTTAGCTGAGCGTGGCCGAGCGAGAAAAGCTCAGATTACCAAGTGTCACAGGATCAAATATGTCGAGGAAAGGTTGCACTATCGATTGATACAGGGTGCTTTTATACTTCCAAAGTACATCAGGTAGCCAGGTTTATCCTATCCCAAGGGAATAGACCCTTCTAAAAAAAATGAATCACCCTACGTATAGCCACGCGAGGCTATTGGCTTTAGGGATTACGGCAGGATTACGTTAGATATAGCACGCCAGTACATCCCGAGCCTGGTCGGTGATATAATGATAATAATTGGATAAACCAAAGGTTTATAGGAAAGGAGGAATGGGAATGCAAATGGAATGAGATAAAGACCAAATGAATCAGGATACAAAGAGGAATGAAATGGAAAGGGAAGAGGAAAAGGAGAAAGGAATGGAACGGGTACGTACTCTCACAGTGGTGGCACTGCGGATTGGGGTGATGCAGAGCCCTCAAGATCAGGAGAAGAGAACAGAGCTGCTAGTAACGGAATCGCAGTTGCTGGCGTATCTTGACGGGAATAAGGAGAGGATGTTAACCATGGTGGGGGTTAAGGCAAAGATGCACGTGAAGGTGCCAAGTCGTTACGTGTGGGAGAAGATCGAGTGTCGGAAGGCCCGTACGGTAATAGAGAAGGTGGTGCATGATGGAAGAGAGTACACTGGCTCCCAAGGAGGTGCTGGCGGCGGCGACGGTGCACTTTTCTAGGGTCTTCGGTGCAGAGCCGGGCATGGAGGAACTACTGAAGTGGGAGCCGGACCTGGACAAGCGGCTTGGGGGGGAGGATGCAAGCAGGCTCTGCACGTTGTGGAGAGTAGATGAGGTTAGAAAGGCGATCTCAGAACTGGTAGCGGGGAAGACTCCTGGGCATAATGGGCTCCCGAAGGAGTTTTTCGAGGCTCAGTGGGACCTGCTCGGGGAACATGTGATGGAGGTAGTTAGGAAGTTTGAAGAAATTGCGGAACTGTCGGTGGCGGTCAAGACGATGGTGATGGTCCTGCTTTACAAAAAGGGGCCGACAGAGAGTCTGCAGAATTATCAGCCGATCTCCCTGCTTAACACCACTTATAAGATTATTGCGAAGGTGTTGGCGAACAGGTTCGGACCAGTGCTGCATAAGGTGATCTTTGAGGGTTAGTACGGCTATATACCTGGTCGGATTTGGCAGACGCAGTTGCGGTGGTGGCGGATGTCATTGATGCGGCGAAGAGGGGGAAGGAAGACTGGTTGCTGCAAAAGGCATATGTCTCGGTTTCCCGCAGCTTTCTCTTCGGTTGCATGCGGAAAATGGGCTTCCCAAGCCGGCTGGTGACATGGGTAGAGGATTTGCACGATGGGGCGACGACGAGAGTCACTATGAACGATTTTCTGGGGTAATTGGTAGAGATGGAAAAGGGGGTCGGACAAGGTTGTCTGTTGGCGCTGTACCTGAATTTGTGTGCAGTTGAACTGCTTTGTCAGGAGGCGTACTGCCGGAAGTTGGGAATCGGTAAAAGAGGGGTGGGGAGGTTGGCCTAATTTGGGTACGCGGATGACACAACGCTCCTGCTGAAAGGGAATGAGCAATTGGCACGACGTCGGCACGGGTGACAATATTGAACAGCTACGCCATGCCCGTCGCACTGTTCCAGACTCAAGTGTACCTGCTGCCAATTGACGTCTGGAAGCGGATCAGGAAGCTGTCACATAACTTCATACCCAGAGGGCAGGCGTCGATGCATTGCCAGTTCCTCCTGTGGAGTTACCACCTCATGGGCCTGCCAAGGGGGGAGGGCATGCTGGGGGTGATCAAGCCGAAGACGAGGGTGGACAGCATGGCATTGTGCACGGTTGGCGTACTGTTACAAGAGAAGCATCCGGTGCGCTGTTGACTGGTGAGACGGCGGCAGAACTTCCGCAGGGGTACGCATCCTTATTTGCGCACCCAGTTCTTCTCAAGCACTAGAGGGGAGGGATTGCGAGACGGAGGCGGTGGTAGAGGTCCTCCTAAAGTTGCCACTGTCAGCACTAAAGCCTGCAGGGTCGAGGTGGGAGGTGGAGCATGAGCAAGTGGCTTTCAACAAGCACATATTTTTTTGTGGCAACAGTCCTTACGGGTGCCAGAAGGAGACGGCATGTATTGTGGGTCTAACGATGGGGGATCTGATAACTAAACGTAGAGATGGAAGCAGAGAAAAGAAGAATCGATGGCAGCTGACTAAGGAGTTGGGGGGGACGATGAAAGCGATTGCAGTGGAGAAGGCCTTTGAGGCGGGGCCGACAAGTTGGAAGGATAGTATTATGAGTCTGGGGGCGGAGGAAATGGTGAAGGAGACGATGTTGATTGCGGTCAGGAACTACCAAGGCAAGGCCTCACCTCTGTGGCAGATCACAGGGGCGAGGGGAGATAAGTTGGAGGGCAGGACGGTGGGCCTAGATGGCGGAGGGCTAGTAGCGGTGCGGCACTCGCCGAGTGTCGCGGCTATAGCACCTAACAGCGTGGTGCCGTTGAGAGCTGTACTCGGAAGAGTAGTAGGGCTGCTAGGGGATCCAAGAATGTGGCTCAGCTGCTCTGTGCTATATGAGGAGCACCTCCCCGCTCCACTAAAAGCGCTGCAGCTAGAAGCCGAAATAATAGCTGATCTGGGAGGAGAGTTGGGGAAGGAAAATTGACTGGGGCAGGGTCATCAGGAGGCGAGATTCAAAGGTGACCCCTAACAAGGCGAGGGAAATTTTGCTGAGAGTACAATACCATAAACTTCAGTTGGGGCAGCAGCTGCCGTTTTGGGGGGATAAAGCGTGCTGCCCGTATTGTGGAGGAGAAGAATCGCTGACGCACAGCCTCTCCACGTGTTCAAGGGTGCAGCCGGTCATCCATGCACTCAAGAGGGCACTGCGCATGATGAATCCGACAAGGTATGTGTCCTCGCTGGAGGATCTGCTGTTTCAGGAGGGAGGCACGAAGTTGGGCTTTCCAGAATCTTCGATGGTTGCGGTCACCCTGCAAAGGATCTAGTTGGAAAGATGACATGCGGTGTTCAGGGGGGGGAGGTTTTTGGTCAAGAGGGCACTGAGGCTGGTTGAGTCGACGTTTCACATGCATGTCCGAGTTCACAACGCTATCATGTTTCGGGCAGGGCAGAGGAAGGAGAGGAAGAGGGCCACGGAGTGGAATCACTTGGCAGATGAGGCGAAGGTCATCAGCCGCATATGTGATGCCATGATGGGGTTGGTAAGGTGGAACAAGGGCTTTCAATCCATCTGGGCTGATCCACGCACCTTCCAAAAACCTCTATACAACCCTAACTCGGGTACCGTCAAATGGGGCCCTGAGTACAGTTACGAATGAGGTGTCAACAAATATAATTATCTAGGCTAGCTAGTTTATATTCGTTATAGCCTTAGTTAGGTCAGTTCTTAGAGGGTAAAGTCCTACCTTTGTAACCCTCGATATTTTCCCTTGGCCCCATCATTCTCTCGACAATCTAACATGGCATCTAGAGCTAGGTCTCGCCCTCTACTCACGCTTCCGCCCTAGCACACCCTAGCCTAGCGCACCTCGACCCTAATTGCGTGCCTCATAGCTCGTCCCCTCCCCCCCTCTCCTCTTTGTCGCGTAGCTCACGCCAGCCACCGCTGGCCTGCGCCCGCCAGCACCTTAGTTTGTAGCCGTCCCACAGCCTACCTGCCCGCCTGCTCACCAGCTCGCCTGCTTGCCTGCTCGCCTGCTTGCCTGCTCGCCTGCCCGCCTGCTCGCTTGCCCGCCAGCCCGCCTGCTCGCCAGCCCGCCTACTCGCCTGCTCGCCAGCCCGCCAGCCTGCCTGCTCGCCAGCCAGCCAGCCCGCCTGCACGCCTGCTTGCCAACCCGCATGCTCGCTTGCTCGCCTGCCCGCCAGCCTGCCTGCTCGTCCGCCTGCCTTCTCGCCTTCTCACCAGCCCACCTTCTCACCTGCTCGCCAGCCTATCAGCCCGCCTGCCCGCCAGCTCGCACGCTTGCCTGCTCGTCTGCTCGCCCGCCCGCGTGCTCGCCATCCCACCTGCTCACCAGCACGCCTGCACGACAGCTCACCTACCTGCCTGCATGCCCGCTCGTCTGCTCACTAGCCCGCCTGCTCGCCAGCTGTCACCCTTGCCTG